TATTATATAAATTTTATACAAATTGGTTAAGATATTAAAAAGTTTTATTAGAAGCGTTTTTTTATTTACTATATAAACATCTAATATACCACGTAGATCATATGAAAAATGATCTACGTACACCCTACCCTTAAATTGTAAAGTCACTGGGTATTTTAGACCACGCTATACGGTACTTGTTTGCTATAAATTCTACTCTAAATGTTGATCCAAGCTAAAATAAATAAATAAATAAATAAATAAAAATAAAAAATAAAAAAAGTAAAAAAAATAAAAAAATAAATAAATAAAAAAATAAAAAAAATAAAGAAAATAAGAAAATAAGAAAATAAAAAAATAAAAAAAATAAAAAACAGATAAAAAATAAAAAAAATAAAAAAAAAATAAAAGGTTAAAATATGCATCCAAATTTCGAACTTTTCAGTAGCTTGTCTATTTTACGCTATACTGTACAATATTTCTTTTACACTTTAATCTGCAACATTAATCTAAATTATTTGTGACAAATGCACGTACGTACGTTTCCTTATATGGAGATCATGCATAACATTGAAAATAAATTTTCTAGTTCTAAACCTCACTGAAATGCAGGAATTTTTGTTTTGCATACAAATGTACTAAAAGAGCAAGCCAATTATCTTTATATGCATATTGCTAACTTAGTCATTCTTTGATAATGATAATTTTAGCTTATCTTCAATGTGTAAATTATTTCCTTTATTTCATATACAAAATCCGATCCGATTAATGAATAGAGTCGATTGTGTTGTTAAAATCCGAATATTTGGGTGCAATGCACTGCACCTCAGAAAATTTATAACACAATTCTGCATGAATCACGATATAAACCATTTAAAATCTGGGCTTTTTGAGATTTGTAAATTGACGCTTATTTAAATTGCATATTTATATATAGAATTTTTTCTTGTATCTTTATTCTATTTATTTTGGATCACTTCGGCCGAACTCTAAAATCAGCATTTCATGATTATTTCAACTAATCGAATGATCGAGCAAAAATAACACAATCACTAGCAAGTTTCATTTAGAGAGTCGCTTGAGAATATTCTTAATTCGAAATTCTATTTATATACTAATGTTACGACTCTCGTTTAATCTGCGTACGTAGACTTTATTCAAACCATATTAATAAAAAATTATAATTATTCAAACCATATTAATAAAAAATTATAATTATTCAGTTATTATATATAGAAATCTTTTTAATTGTATTTTGATTTTGAAATGATGAGCGACTGTTGGAAAATTTTCCCAGAAATTAATAAGTAGTTATTACGTCTAATTTTAACTAAAGGTTTGATTTGTAATAAATCAAAAACATTTGCTAACGAGCTAAATTAAGTAAGTCAAACATGCCATTGTAATAACGCCAATAACGCCCATTCATGTTTATTTGGGATATACATTTTTTTGGGTACACTTGACAGCACCGGAGTGTTGCCATAATTTTCCGGAGCTTTTTCTTTGTGCATGTGTTTCTTATTTCCTATTTTGTATTTCTGTATGCTGTCATTTTTCAATTGAGTGTGAGTAAAAACCCGAAGCTTTATTTGATGTTTTACTATGATTGGTTACAGGTTTTCACTCTCCAGCATATAAGTGGTCACTTGATACAAAACGGCATTCCGATATTGACCAAAATTATTTATCTAATCGTCATTAGTTTAGAGCGTTTTTATTAGATTTAAGATTCTTCTCACGCGTAAAATTGCATCCCTGACATCTTAATGTATCAAGATAGGTTTTGGCTGTTGTTTTCGTATTCATTTTTTTTTGTTTCGTTATCCGAAACAAATATCATTATCTGCATTATACTGAGTAACCTGGGCTGCAGTATTGTTGCATGCACCGTCAGCAATGCTAGATGCTGCATGCATATTACGCAAAATGATAAAAAAACAAAAAATCACAAAAATCAGGCCATGCATAGTAATAGGGGTGTGAAATAACCTGAAAATCCGTGTAACATCATGTAGATCAAAATAATTTTTATCAAAACAAGGCTCGGGATGGGGAATGGTATAATACGAAAATTTTGCAAGGAGTTTTTTTTTATTAGAGCCCCAAAGGTAGTTTCATAGATGAATTTTTGAGTTATACCCATTTTTTAAAAAAGAAACAAAAACTTTTGTGGTACACCTGATAAATTATAATGGTGTTGGCCAGTGGTGGGATTTAACAATGCCGTAATTATTTGTCAATAATTTGCCGTAATTGTTTATCAATAATTTGCTAATTTTATTGCAAGTAGCGTGTTACTGTCAAACATGGCAGTTTTTTTGATTGACATGACTAAACTGTCAGCTCCAATAGAGTAAAAAGTACACCCGTATATGCATATAATTTATGAAACATAGGCATTCAGTAAAGTACTTTATAGAAACTTGAATATCTTAATGCTTACCATATTAGTTACAATATAGTAATTGCGCATTAAGATATTTAGGTTTCTGTATAGTAGTACTTTTATGGCAGTAAGATCCCGAGCGACATACGAAAATTATACAAAGTTTTGGACCTCTGATTTATATCGATAACGCGTATAACCTATTTTCCCACTATCTAATCCATCCATCTTGACGCGCTTCATTAAATATAGAAATTTATATCCTAACCTGGAAATAGTTAGAAATTTAAAAATAAGTATAATATATTGGCAGTCAAAAATTTATAAACACGCTATAATTACATTAATTATATATATTTTCAAGTTGCCATTATATACCACTATAATTTAATATTATACGAATTTCTACAATAATGCATTAAGACGATTTGGGAGGAATACGATCTTTAGACAATAGATGAAGATCTTGATAAGGGAAACGGCGGTCCTTATCTTATTCAAATTTACTTGTAGTTCTTTATAAAAGTAATCAATTTTATTTGATGAAACGGTATTTATAGAGCTGCATAAGTCCTCTAATAACTCAATTTTTTCAGAATAAAAAAAAAATCTAATGGCTACTATTGAAAATAATCAATCACATAACAAAAAAAACAAACTTTCGATGGATATTGAAAGTAACCAATCACTTAACAGCAAAAACAAACTTTCGGTGGAATATGATCAAAATGGAGCTTCTTTTATATTTGGTAAAAACGAACCTTCGGAATACGTAAAATCAGAAACATCGGAATACGTAAAATCAGAAACATCAGAATACATCAAATCAGAAAAATCGGGTCCAGTTTTTGAGATTGTAAATACTACTCCATCGAGTGATCCAATAAATTTGTCGAAGAAGAAAAAAAATTTCATCTTATTTATTATCTCTGTGACAGCATTTATCGCTCCTATTTCTAGCACGTGAGGATACTGAAGTTTTTTTTTTTTTTTGAATCTGTATTTTTAATATTAAAACTTGATTTTTTTTGTTTAGAATGATTTTGCCGGGTATTATCAATATTGGGATCGATTTAAATACTTCTCAGTTTCTTTCCAATGCTATAAGTAAGTAAAATAATTTTGTTAATGTACTGTAATTTAATTTGATGAATGTTCTACTGACAGTGCTTTAGATATTAAAAATTGGCAAAGAAATTATTCATTATGTAAAAAAATCACATAACCCAATATGACAATTTATTACGTTATTATTGTGAGTATAGTTTATCAATAAATTGTCGCATAGTGTGATTTAACCTTTTACATTACTGTACCTTGCCCAACGAGAGGAACCGTCGATGTTACACGACTGATCCTTCACCCGGGTGAAGGATCAGTCGTGTAACATCGACGGTTCCTTGCCCATCTCTTTTGGGGACAGTGCAACTTCATTGATTGGTTAGTTATTACATATCGCGGTTTGTCTATCGTTATTGATGTAACTTTGATAAATTTGTAGATCGCTGCACACAATCAGTCACTTGAACAATCACTTGATTGTTGTTAAGTTGCGCGATTATACAATGATTTTGATTTTTTTTTTAGCAAACTTTATTGAATCTTTGGCCAAAAAACACAATCACGTAATCAAAGTTACATCAATATGTAAACTGCGATAAGTAGATGAATTTTAATAATATCGCGTGAATTACGTGAATTTGTGCTGTCCTTAAGCACTGTCTGTAAATTCTTTGGTAATCAGATCTTATCAACTCATGCATATTATGAATTAAGCTCAGAGTACTCGAATCATTTGATCTAGTTAACTTGTTCGAGTTTTATTCGAGTTATAACAAAATCAATTACTTCAGTTTGTGCTTTAATCCATTCTTAAAGTAATTTAAAAATATTTTTCGTGAATATATGGACAAAGACTCTTTAATTTGTGGATACTATTGATTAAATTACAATTCTTAAGCCAATACCGCTCTTTTAATTAGCATATGCAAGTTTATTAATATATGTAATAACCGTGTAATATACTGTGTTAATGGCTTGCCAGTTAAAAAAAATTACCTGAAAAATTCGAGTTATGCAAACTATTCGAGTCAAGTTCAATAATTAACTTGATGATAACATGGTTTAATAACTTAATTATTCTTTTCGCATTAATTATTAGTCGCCGTTTTTGTTTTTTTCATGGGAATTGCAGTGAGTTTTCTTTACTTTCTTTTTTGTGACATTTGTGTTATATAAAAAAATGTCTACATATAATTTATTTATTTACAGCCACTTTGGTGGGCTTCATATTCCGATGTTCGTGAAACAAGGCGAAAAGTCTACTTAATATCCCTTTCAATATACGTCATTTCAGGAATAATATGCGCTATAACGCATAATATTTGGTTATTATTAGTTATGCGTTCTTTTCAGGCTTGTGGTGGCTCTTCCGTCATAAGTATTGGTGCTGGAACTTTAAGTGATTTATTTATTCCTACAGGCAAGTTATCTAGTTTTGCAAGTGACTTGCGTCATCTCTATTATTTTAAATGTATTTTGATGATCGTAATTCATGTGCAGAACGTGGACGTGCTTTTGGATGGTTCTATTTGGGTCCTGTATTAGGTCCTGTTATCGGTCCGACCATAGGTGGTTTTATAACTCAATACCTTGGTTGGAGATTTGTTTTTTGGTTTATGTCAGTATATGGTGGTGTCGTTTTAGTCATTATCTACTTTACTCTTCCCGAAACCTTTCACCACGTTCGTTTATCACTTCCAACTGATCCAATTGTTAAAAAACGTTTTAATCCGTTTGCTCCACTTGCTTTACTTCGTTATCCTAACTTATCTTTGTCAGTATTTTACATGAGTACAATTTATTCTGTGATATATATCTTTAATACCCTTGTTCCAACAACTTTTTCATCAAAATTTAATCTGTCCACTTCTAATATCGGTCTTGTGTTTCTTTCTCTCGGTCTTGGATTCTCATCGGGAAGTTTGATCTCTGGATATTATTCGGATTTTCTATTGTCTAAAAGTAAAGCGAAATATGGTGAAATTTATCCGGAAATGAGAATAAAAGGTGCTTGGTTTGGTGTCGTGTTAGTTCCAGTTTCTCTTTTAACCTATGGATGGCTAATTGTGAAAAATGCTCACATTGCTTTTCCTATATTATCAATGTATTTTTGTATGTATCGATTATATTATTTCCACTCTTCATATATCTAAACTTTTTTTAAACAAATTTTTGTTTAATTCTAGTTGGTTTTGGTGCTTATTTGATATTGAATTGTATGTCGACATACTTAATTGACGCTTTTCCTGGTCAAGGAGCCTCAGTTATAGCAGTATACAATTGTTTCAGATATATTGGTGCTGCAACAACGGCTCTTGCCTCAATACAAATGGAAGACACATTGGGAACTGGATTTTTCTATACTTTTTTGGTTGTTTTTTTGATTTTGTGCACTTCTTGTATAATAATTGTATATTTTAAAGGGAAAAAGTGGAGAGAGCGTTTTCAAAATTAAATGCTTTATATTATTATTAGAATTAATGAGCTTAGTAAAAGAAATTTTTGTAAAATTATTAATAATAAAACTATACATAATAAAAAAATTATTATTATACTGTATATATGATAAAAAAAATTATTATACAAATTTTATATAATAATATTATAATTTATTCTGCTTCACTAAACAAAATACTGTACAGTAAACTCCTGCAATAGTCACACCAGTATTTACCATGATTCCACTATACGTAGTAGTAGTCACCATGATTATTTATCTTATATGAAAATTTTTGCTCGCTTTAGCGTTAGGTCAATTTCTCAATAGGTGCATAAAATGCCTGATTTTGGCATGTGATTGTACTATTTATAGTAATTCATTATACTCCTAAAAAATATTAGACTATACCAACTTAATAAATCTCATAACCAGCCGAATCAAATTTTACAAAAAAATTTAAAAAAATTTACTATCCGGGTGAAAAATCTAAAAATTTTATTTGAAAGTAAAATTAAAAACCTGGTTGCCGGGTTATTTTTAAAAACTTTAGGTTATGAGAATTAATTTATTAAATTTGTCTAATGTTATTATATTTTCTAAAAGGCATTTTCTATTTGTACACGGGGTGTTTGAAAGCCAATCAGATTGCACGGTCAGGTGTAACGTAAAATTATCGCTTTCTCTAAAATATTACCTATATCAGATATCTCAAGTTTTTGCTTATGAAACAACCTTTTGGATTCTAACAAAAAAAATTCCTTGCGAAATTTTGGTATAGGCTATAATCCGCCCCAATCCTAAATGCACTCTTACCCTAACCCGAAGTAGGGCTTAATTTTTCATACCAGGAATGGAGTTTTCTGTAAGTGAAAACGGAGAGTATGGTTTACAGCAAAATTCGATGATATGCATTCACAAAATCTGGCATTTGGTTGAACGCCACAGTTGGCTATGTTTTCTAAATTTATAAACACGGGTAATCTCGGATTTGTGAATTTAATCAAGAAAACCTCTTAAAGCACTGCCATGTGACCAAAGGGTGGCAAATTTTTAATTACTTAGAAAAATATTATACATATGGTTATGCTTATGACATGCGCCTAAATATTTGCATTTAGGCGAGACCAACTTGATTCTGTGTTTTACATACCCCATTCCCTCCCTAGCGTTCCCTCTCCCTCATAGTAAAAAAAATTTTATAAATATATATAGTGCTCCGGGCTATTTCAGAAAATTTTTATATAGTCATGGAACAATTTGGAAAATTTATTTTCGAAAATTTTTTTTTAAATTTTACTATGTAAACCACAAATCCCCCCTTTCGGAGGGGAGAGTGGGGTAATGTAAAGCACAGAATCAAGTTGGTCTTGCCTTAATTGGATGCATTGAAAAGTTTAAGTTCGGCTATCTAATATGACCCGATATATAATCATGTCACGTTTGCACAATTATTCATTAATTGATAATTGTACTATGTTTACGTTGACATACTATTCCAATTCATACATAGAAGTAAATTCATACATAGAAATTCATATTTATTTGGTAAATGACAGTCTGGAATAATGTTAAAAATGTTAATATATTACTTTCATTCACTATACCAGTAATGGAGTTTCACAGAAGTGAAACAAAGGGTATGGTTTACAGCCAGGTTCGATGGTGTGATCCATAAACTCTTGTATTTAGTTGGTTGGCGTTAAAGATGCTTGACGAAATGATTTTTGAGTTGATGAAAGGTTTCGTCAAATTATATACCAGATGAAATTTTGACGATTGACGAAATCATCGATGATTGACGAAACCGTTGACGATTGACAAAATTGTTGACGAAACTATTAATACATAAAAATAAAAAAAATTCTCTATAAAAAGATAATGTATTGCTTTATTTATTATCTTTTTTAAACTTTACATGTTTTCTAAGTGTTACAAGAT